AGTTGATTAAGACCTAACTGATTCAGACACCTTTCCTGTGATTAGCAACTTGAATTCTTTGCAATTAGGAGGTCCACGAATATTATGAGTAATAGCATGTTCATAAACCGGTAAACTTACCACCGGCAGCAGCAACCACAGGTTCATCATCCAGTCCGTGACCCAGCGGAACAGCCGTGGCCGGATGACCATGAGGGGTAGAATGGGCCCCATCATGAAGACCGAGCCCACGGTGGCTGTCAACGCCATGGCTGTTATGCAAACCGCACCCTTGCAGACGCCCATGGGGGTGAGTGGTGGCAGCAGCGGCAGTGTGCTTGGAGTTGTCATGGCTGATGCAGAGGTGCTGCTGACCCTGCGTGGCAAGATGAAGTTGACACGGGTTCTGTTGGGATACCGGGATATTAAATCAAAACTCAAAAGATACTCTGAAAGAAGTACAATTTTCAAGAAGTGAGAAATCAGATATTTTCCAGTAATAGCAAATTGGTAAACATGATATTTAGTGCTTGAGGACGCTATGGTGCAGCGGCTGCAGAACAGTTTTTAAACTGGGGGGGGGGGGGGGGGGGGAGGGGGGGATCACCAAGGAGGGGCACTTGTTCAGTATTTTTTGTGTGCACACGTTATGTGCTGAAAGGTTAAATAGTGTGTGTGTGGTGTGTGTGGGGGGGGGGGGGGCTGGTATTTTCAGGGCGCATTGTTAGAGTTTACATTTGGGTCTGTGTTTTCATATTCCTCGTTCATAACAGCTCTCTTCATACCATTTTGGGAAATGGTTTCTGAAAACAAATTATCCCAAACGTTTAGGGCCAGTTTTGTTTTCATCTCGAGGGGGCACATTTATGCTTGATTGGGAACATTTATGTCCGCAAAAGGGGCCCTTGGGTAAATCTGGGGGAGGTGCAATATGTTCAATAGAATGTTGCATGAGGTTGTAGCCCAGGTGGACTCCCTTTCCTCCCTACGTAACGGAGGGAGTCCAGGGTATGAAGTGCTCACAACCGGGCGAAAAAATTTATGACCAATATTTTCAATATTTTTACCTTGTTGGAGAAGCCAATTTTTACGTTGTAGTATTCTATGTCTCCTTATCTATTGGGCCGCTGGGTTCAGGATTCCATATGCGATGCTGACCGACCTTAATCAGGAAAATAAACTCTAAAGCAACGTTAAACTTGTACGTGTTTGTAGACTCTTTTCATCAGTTTCTCACCGCCGAGTCTATTCTAGTCGTACATGACGTACGGCCGTGCAGCGTGTAGTCTTGTTCCCTAGACCTGACAATTATTCTCGGCGCCCATATCACGTCTGGTCTGGGAGCCAGACTATGCAGCGTGAATATGCAGTGCGCACGCGCGATTTGCTTAGTAACCATCCTCATACGCACGCGCACTTACTTGAAGGGCGCGGTCGCTAATCCAATGACCGAGCGTAATTTTCGCGCCAGTTACCAGAAACATGTTTCGGCTTTGGTCATTGGTTGAGCGTTTTCGTGACGTCGGTTGGCTAGAGTGACGTCACTGTTCCAACCAAAACTAAACAAATGAGAGCGCTAGCGTGCGTGCGCGCTTTCGTACGCACGTACATTGTACATGACGTACGAGTCTGGGAATAAACTGATGAAAAAGAGACTAAAACACGTACAAGTTTAATGCTGCTGTAGAGTTTATTTCCTGATTAATGTTGGTCAGCATCACATATGGAATTCCTGAACCCAGCGGCCCAATAGGTAAGGACACATAGAAAATGTAGGCGTGAAATAAGCTTCTGTAACGAGGTAAAACGTAACAAAAATCTGGTCCAAATTTTGGGTGGTCTTATGTATGAGAATTCTCATCCTGGACGTTAGTCGTAATGTAATGAAGACTTCGTCCAACCTGGGCTACATGAGGTTGCAGATTTTGGGGAGCGACGAAAAAGTTTTGTTAAGAACAACCATGGAGGAAGGAATAGACAAACGGAGGTGTCCTCAACTACACAAACTCATTCATGAGATGTGGTATTTAGTGGTAACAATAAAAAATGAATTGAAAGAATAGAAATTAGAATAAAAAGAATGAAACAAAGAGTCTACTCTGGAGGACGTTACTCACGTAGGCCTACACGTACGTATGATGAGCTATGAGTAGTATGACTTTATGAGAAATGTTGAGAAAGCGTCGTTACAAATAAATCGGATGAGCACAGGAATAAATATTCACAATATCGTCCAGGAACAGATCTATATTATCACTCACTATAGCACTTAGCTCATCAGACGTCAGATGAAGCTTTATAGCAAGCAATTAAGTCGACTACTGTGTGGTGCCAGCTGCATGCATGCTATATCGCTGGCTAGCTAGACATACATGACATAAAGAACTTGCGCTAATAAATATACACACGCCCTCTATTGTCAGAAAAACTCTTAGAGGGCACTGTTTCAGTTTATTAATTTTCAGTCGCAAAAATCGCGGCGACCGTATGGTTAATTATAGATCAATCTGATTGCTCAGACGCCATGAGCTGCTGCATGTTTGATTTATTATGTTCATAAAAATGAATGCACAATAGGTCTCATGTGTATACGTATCCCTGTTGAACAAAAGCAATACACACATCATAAGGAGAAATACTACATTTGCTGATTTCAAGTTTGTCTTTTTAACTTTAGCCCAAATCGCGCCATGATTTTTTTTTAGTTTTACCTCGGAAATGGATAGGCCTATGGCATTTTTTTTTAGCAGTGAAAATATCTTTCACTTTTGTTTGAGATGTCGACCGAAAAAATCCACTCACGTTTAGTTACTGCAGAATAATTTCGAATTATCAGTTGCGGCCCTACGATAAATCAGGCATCCGTATTTGCGGCGGTACGGTAGAAGCAACGCACACGATGTAAAAGCTTTGTTTCAGAAGGTCGCAGACGCGCCTAAAACAGAATAAGTGTCTTTTCTTTTAAACCTACAAACTGAACTTCATCGACTCGCACGCCCCCTTAAAAAAAACCCGCCCCCAGTCCCCGCCCACTGGAAATTTGATACCGGAGAAAAGAGTTACCATGATTAGCGGGTTGAACATTAAAATGCCCCTTTTCCACGATTTTTGTGTTCTTCACCCAAACCCTGTTTTTCGCAAGTGGCTGTTTATTTTAACTTCCCCTAGAAAGCCAATAGCGCTATATATTGTCTGACATTGACCGTGATATCGGTTTTGAAAAGCGCCCCCATGGAAAGATGGTGTCCAGCCCCCCCCCCCATAGCACGGATGAAATTGGGCGCCCCTCCACTGTAACATCCAGCCCTCCCCCCCCCCCCCCACACACACACACTTGTCTCCCTAGGATGAGACCCCGGGCTACGCCCAACATCGCGCATTTAAAATACTTGGGCACTGTTCCTTCCGGCTTTCTAACACTGGCATATGAAAGCTCATGGAGATGAGAAAGGATCGAGGGCGATATAGTCTTACCAGCCTTGATGAATTCAGGCCGGATGATACTGTCTTTTCCTGGAGATTTGCCACAAGCAAGGGAGCCGATAGCCTTTCTGGGTTCCACTATGGAAGGCAGGTCCAGGTCGTCAAGCTCTTCTATAAATAGGCAGGTTCTCGCTCCCGCTATAGCACTGCTCGCACCTGCATCACCAGTGTCATTTTCTCCTGTGAGTAGAGCTCCCAATTAGGGCTCGACCCATCTAAAGGCTTTCCATCTGTTTTATCGGTCTGTGATGACATTGCCACTTGAGTGGCACAACCTTGCTGGTGATGGGCCAAAAGGCATTATTCTTTATGCCTTCGTATACATGCCACGAATGTTGCCACAGTCAGTAGAGACTTGGATGCTATTACATTTAGCTAGTATACAGTTGTTGGCACCGCGTCCGAGTTGCGGTTCGTTGAGCATTGCTCCGTGCCTATAGTTTCTGAGTAATGTAAGCATATCTTCTCAGATGGGTCCCCTCTGGTATTTAACAAGAGCTGCTCGCTCGGCTTCCATGACCCGCTTACCAAACGTGTCCATATGGCTTCGGTGTAGAATGTGATTCGTGAATGTGATTAATCTCTCTCTTCAGCACTGGCTGAGGGTCAGTGAGGAATATTCATGAGCGCTTGCTCTATTGAATCACTAAAAGCGCTCAAATAAATCAGAGACTGACGTTTTGGCTGTCTTGATGCGTGGACGTCCTTTCTGAATTCTGCTTTGAATGGTGGATTCGTTTGGGATGAAGCTGCCGACCATGGGATGAAGTTGTCCGTCATCGTGCCCGACACAAGTAGTGAAGCTACAGTCGAGTCGACCAATGATGATGATGATGCCGACCCAAATAGTGGTCGGCATAACAGTCAGCGCTGTGATATAGCTGCGAGTGATGTGAACGAAGTTCATTGACGGTCGTAATTCTTGTGATGAAAAAAAAGGCCCAGCTAGCTGGTGCCAGTGACGAGACCTAGGATATGCCTCAACTCTGTATGACACTGGCTTCGTGAAGAAGAACGTGTTGTGGAACGAACAGAGTTATCGCAGCTTTTGCCATTCTCCTTCATTTTCGCGAAGTTTCAGATGCAGGTCGGTCAAGAGTCGTGGTCAGACCCTGCACCTAAGAGTTTTCGGAAGTCCTGTACTAGGTATACAGGTGCTCTGTGGCAGGCACTCTAAGCTTCTGATTGCAGAATCCAGATCCTCGTAGTTGGTCCTTGATCATGTAGAAGAGCAGAGGCTTGGAGAGTAAATGCTCAGGAGGCCAAGAGGAGTTTGAAAGGCGGAACAGATATGCGTCCTTTAATTGCCTCTGCGTCGGCGGTTCAATATTGTAGCGAGATCAATATCGGCTCTTTTCCTCCGAATCCAGCAAAACGCAAGAAAAGGGGACAGGATTTCCAACTTCAGGAGAAACTCTTATTTTATTCAGCAACAAGAACTGTGGTCAACCTGCCACACTGCCACACTACTGCTGATTCCCAGCATTAATTAACACCCTCCTGTGACGTTCCTCGCCATTATTTTGCACGAATGGAGCATGGCGCGTCACTCAGCATCTGACGAAAGCGTAGGTGGCTGAAGCCATTAATTCAGTCATTTCACAGAATCACAGCAAGACACTTACGTTTTCGTTCTCCTCCCCTTCAATAAAAAAAAAATGGTCGCTGGAAAAATGGACATAGCAGGATTCGAACCAGGGACCTAACCAAGTCAGGTGCGCGCCGTGCCGCCGTAGCCCCTCCGCCGGAGACCGCCTAGTGGAAGAAAAGTGCTGCATATTGGTGTCCGTAATATTGAGGGGAGGGAAGAATTTCTCATACTGCAAATCCGACGCCGTGCTGTGGAGGTTTTTTTATGGATACGCTGCCAGCCAGCCGTAGGTGCCATCTGAAGAAATTCTGTCTTGTTTCTTGCAATGCTTGCATGCAGCGATATCGTCAATGTTTAGCCTCTTCAGCTCATGGTCGATGATGGCTCCGTCGCTGAGTGGTGGATCCTGGGGGGCAACCCGTTCAGCCGCTGACTGATGTTATGATACAAAAATGGGGACAAATATAATAAATGCAGGAATATGCTAACGTTCCTAAATCTATTTTCAAATTGCCTTATAGAATGCCGGAGAAAAACCTGAATTTCAAAATTTCCCAGAGGCTTGCCCTACCCCACCCCGATCCCTTAGCAGGACGTGACGTGACTGCACCCCTCCCCATTAATCTCCTCCTCCGTGTCACACGGATAGCGTCCAAATAAACCTTCGCTCGATTTACTCAGAAGATAACCTGACAGAGGGCGGGCTCACTCATTAACAAAAAATTATTGAGGTTAGTAGTACTGCATGCATGCCACTGCACTGCTGCATGCGCTGCCGCGCCGGACTAGTGCACCTGTCCTTGGCCTTGTTGTAGGCCTATGTTCACGATATGTGCCCAGCTGCTAAGGGGGCGGATCTACGTACGTGCCCGCCTAGCCTGTCATAAATTGTTCGAAAACAACGGAATTTGAGTACTTCGTGAATTAAATATTGTAGAGCTGTTGTTTTTTTTGCCCTCGACGTCAACGCATGCCATGCATGCTGAATTTGTGCACACGGCAGGCAAAGTTGACGTCGGTAAACGGCAGTATCCTCGACTCGAGTCACCATTAATAATCGGCGCATTTACATGTACTAAACTATTCTACGTGTTTATTATACGTATACCAGCCTGCAGCTGGAGGAAGGAAACTAACGTACTAACGCGTAACGTTAGGTCGCTTTGCTGAGCACTCAGCAGTCTTTTGCCATGTTTGCTGTCGCAAATCTCGCCTGACCTGTTTATTTGGTGGACCGTATGACATGTACGTTGAGCTACATGTACATTGTGTCGAAGCCCCATTTAATTTGGGCCCAGACTGCCAGATGACTGCCTTCATGACATAGAATTAGATAGAATTCTAGAAGTTAATAGTACAAAAGTAGCCTTCATATATTAACTTTGTTTGGGCATGTTGGGCTGTTTTACAACTTTATTTTTGGTTTTGAACTAGCTGGAGTTACCCAGCCCTGAATTTTATCATTGGGTTGTCATACATGACAACCCAATGATAAAATTCAGGGCTGGGTAACTCCAGCTAGTTTTGAACCAGCACACAGGAAAATGAAGTTGGGAATTTCATTTGTGGAATACACTTTTTAATTTGAGATATTCACCCATGGGCAGATGATTGTGTGTGGTTTGACCGTTTACCAAGTTATCAAAATAGAATTTCGACCGAGCCCCACCCCAATCCATCACTTCCGCAGAATGTACCACTAGTCCCAATGGCTTGCCTACAAATTTTTTTTTTAGTCGTCTTGTCTCAACAAAAAACTTGTCTTTCCATTTGACGCACAGATGGTCCAGTTGTCCGACAGGTTGAGATGTCGAGTCGAGTTGGCAAAAAAACTGGTCGAGTTGTCTGAGCCCAAATTCAAGGTGTCCGGCCTTTCACATTCCCATTCCTTGATTGATCAATGCTGATGTTATTGTTGACGTTATTACAATGTGTCCCTACCTTCATGGTATTACTAGAGCCTCAGTCTCGGGCTTGCCAAAGAGGATTGCCAATCTTTTGCTGCCTGCATCCGTGGTCTTTATAATCCATACTAAAGCTTTGTAGTGATGATCAAGGAAACCAGGGAAGAAGGTATTTCGTAGTAGCCCACCTTACTATTCAAAACATCGGGCTTTCTATCTGTAGGCCCCTTCCTCAGATTTTTTTTCTAAACTGTTCATGGATAGACCACCAACCATTGCCAACAGGTTGGCAACAGTTGTGTGATTGTGATACTAAATTGTGTCCCATAACTATAGTTGTGTTTTTTAAATACCAAAGCTTTCAGCATACACGTGTGTATTCTCAACGAGTACAGGTTTATGTGACTGTACATGTAAGGGCTCTTGCAATTAGTTGCATTATTTCTCAGAATTGGGTAAGTGCAGTGTACCATTGGCTCAGGTTCATAGGTCATCAGGACATGGAAGCATGCAGGCCATAACTTGAAATTAGGGCTGTGACTGTCCCGACTATACCGAATATTTGAATGATAGATCATCAACCGAACATTCCAATAGCTTTTTACCTGTTCGAATATTGTGATGTTGTTTTAATCGTAAAGTTGGGATGTTTTAATTGTCAGATGCCACTGTTTGTTGACTGCGACAGCAACTTTTTTTGTAGACAGCTGTTCACTGTTCTCATCCTTTCATCACAGGCTAGAGTGACAGTTATAAAATAATTACTGCAAAATATTTCAGCGGCGCATCACCGATCACTGAACTTCTGAAGGGTAGGGCATGCAGATGCATCTGGCGTGTTTAAAGTTGATCGGCGAGTTTCGAATATTCGAATATTCAGTCAAGCAGTTTTGAATAATCAAATACTCAATTTTTCGAAATAGGACAGCCCTACTTGAAATACATGTATCTGGTTGCCAAATATCATGTGAATTCTGGATCTGGATCAGGGCCTGGAAAGACATTTGAAAACGAAAGATCTAATTCTTTAGCACCCATTTCAAGTGATGTTTTTACCCCATGTAACAGATTAGACATGCGGTCCCTAGCAGAGAAGATCTTGCCCAGGCTGAGCCTGAAGTAGCTCGGAAACTCTTTCGATCAGGAAAATTCTTCAAGGAGAGTACCTCGGGAATGTGCCAAGGTCAGTCTTATGGTTGTGAATTATGTCGCTGCTATTTTTCCTTTTGATGGTCCACTGGAGGTGGTAAACTATGGTAAAATTATTTAGCACTCATGAAATGGTCAATGATTCGTGACCAATGACCTTGAGAAAAATTCTGCAGTCATTTCAGCCAAACGCTCCAAATTTCCCCTGAAAATTACAAGATACCTAACTAGACATTTTACGGGTAGGGTTTTTGTGTGTTGACTGAATTTGACTTGTCAGAGTGCTTGCTTGAAATATAATCTGACTGTTGGTGACTAGCATGTGTAAAAGGCATGGCAGGGGAAGTGGATAGAATGTTTGACTGTCTGTGACTGTTTAGACAGTAGGAGGGTTAATTGAAGAAGTTAAAGTCATTAATTGTTACTTTGTTCAATGGTTCACCTGTCAATTTCAGGTCGAGTACAGACCAATTTGCTAGCACTGGACAAGTTACTGGCTGAGGACTTTGCCAAGTTCTGTGCTGCCAACTCGGGTCCCCTGCCTGTCCTATTTCAGTCCGAGGTCGGCCAGTTCACTGCTCCAGGTCTAACTCAAACTGATTCCGATGTCAGGTGATTAAAAATGTCCTAACTATTTCTTAATTGTGGATATGGGCAATTCCACGGCTACTCATGTTACATTTTTGATGTACTTTTGAGTTTCCTTGGGCTGTAATTACCTTACTGAAAAGGTTTAATAATTGTTATCCCTGTGGTAGATAGAGTAGACCTAGACCTACCTATTAGCACAAAGATGACGTCCAGAAAAATGTGTTATGTATGATAAACAAGATGCACAAAATTGGTTACTCACGTTACATTTTCATATTGTAGTTGATGTCTTCCTTATCCGTACAGAACAGATCTGCCAGCCTACAACATCATTGAAAATGGGGAGGTTACCCACACCGTCAAGAACATCATGGGTTTCAAGGAGTTCCTTCGGGACTACGTCTTCTTCTATCAAGGTTGCAGCTTCACATTTGACCAATCTTTTCTGGCTGCAGGCGTGCCCCTGAGAAATCTGGAACACAATACCCGTATCAGTGTATTCACGGTAAGGATTGAGTGTTTTGGAGCATTGAAAGGGTCTTTAAAGGGAATGTACAACATTTGCTTTAGCTGCAGTTTTCAGATATAAATGAATTTGGAGGATAAGTATGTTATAGCAAACTGACTTGTTTCACTTTTTGGGCTTGTAGATACTGGAAAAACCAAGAAAATCAATCATGTTCTTGTAGTCTAGTTTCCCTAACCCCACTTAAGATGAAACAGAGCAATTTATAGACTTTGGGGAATTGTAAGGTCAAAGAATCAGTCTAGCAGGCTTGTACCCCTTCACTGGTGTGTAATCAATTGCAAAGAAAATGCGGAATAACTTAATATGAAAAACTAGGAGCAGTTGTTGAAAAAAGCCAGTTTTTTTCCAACGCTGGAGGCCGACCAGCGTTGGAAAAATACAGTTTTTCTTGAAAATGTCAGCACACCAGGAGCCATGATTTTACAGGATGCTTCAGACTGTCATTCCCTAACAATTCAGTAAGGTATTTCATGATTATTTGATCATTTTGTGTTTTGATGTTTGCAAATGTTGTATCTTCCCTTAAACCATAAAAGGGCGGGAGGGGGGGATTATCCCCTTCACTTTTCTAGCATATTTTTACCAAACGCGCGTTTCTCGTCGTGAGCTTTCGTGACTTTCTATCTTCAATTCTGGTGCAGGTTTTGGTACCAAATTTATGGAAATTGACCTTAGGGTCACCGTGCTGTGCGACATTAATTGTGGCTGGTCACCATGGAAATCGCATTTCCCCATTTACCATACATGGAAAATTAGTACAGCTTGCTGCGGTAAAAGTGTGCTAACTTGGAAATTAAAAAATTAAAAAATACACTTTGACTTATGAAAATCAAATTCTGTGAATGTGTTCAGATTAAATCTCGCTACGTGTGTGCCGAGTTTCATCCATTGAAAGAAATCTGTAAATATCTGAAGACTGGTTTTGCAAGAATAATTGCACAATTGGAGATCATCGGTCAATTACTAGTTGATTTTGACGTATTTGTATACTTACGCCTATAGCAATATGCCAACGTCTCAAGTCAAACGATAGGCAATACCTCATATGAAAATTCCTGGTCTTGGCTCCCTGCTGTACATATGGTACAAGCAGCTGTTGTAACCAGCCATGCTACTGACCTAGGCAACATGGCCCCGATTGTCGACTAGACTAGTCCAACTATGGGATCTGTGCTAGAACAAGAGAGGCTGCTTTTCGACACTGGTTTGTGCGCGAATGGCGAGAAGTACCGTAGTGCGACTAATTGTCTTCTGAATGTGCACAAACCCATGGCATCTTCGCATGAGCGTCAGACGTCTTCAGCAATGCGTTTGAATGTCTCTCCCAGTGGTCTCCCCCAACTCTCCCTTTCTTGCCGTTGAGGGGGTACTTGTGCACGGAGCCCATAGTTGACAGTCGACGGTTTGAGCAAAGATATTCAGATCTGATTACCATAGTTTTTGCCTGAACTTCCTCATTGTTGTTTTGTTGTATCTATTAGACCAGTGTAAAGTGCCATCCAGTCGGGCCATTCAAATGCCAGATGGACGTGTCTATGAGACCAATCCCACGTGATCTGGTGGAGACGGCCTTCAAAGTGACCCTCCCTTTGACCAATTACCACGGGGCTCCTGTGCATATCGGTGATCCGGGTAAGTGCGTATAGATCTCTTAAATTCTGTTTCATTTACTTCTCAGGGAGTTTGCTTTAATTAACTATATCAATATTAGGTTTTGTCCTTCACCGACGTATAAGCACTGTATACTCAGTGTGTTACCTCCCGAGTGAAAGTTTGAGTAATTTTTGTTTCGAACTTTCACTCGGGAGGTAACACACTGAGTACACAGTGTTTATACTTGGTGAAAGGCAAAACCTAATATTGATTTACGTCGAGGCACCCAGGAAAAACTAAAGTCCTTACAGAGTTGAAGTTCAGCACTTCGCAAGTCAAATCTCAAGTTCTTCACAAATCAGTCGCAAGTGTAGCAGGAGATGAACAATGACACAGGAATGCCTTTTGAATGATGTGACTTGCCTTGACACTGAAGGACTTTTGATTTACATGTGAGGGCTTGGTTGCAACCCTATGATCTGTTGACAGGGATTAAACCCTGACCCACATCATTACTGTAACTGACAGGAGACCTTTAGACAAACTACGGTGACGGTAAACATGCAGGCCCTTTTTCTCTTTCAATGGCCCCTTCCTGCCTGTCAATCACACAGTACGCATTGACCAATAAGATCACAACTTTTGGCCAGGTGATCATACATGTAAGCTATAGCCATAGAGCTATATTAAATTACCGGAGAGCTAACTCTTCATTCTTGCGCGCGGAGAAGCTTTGAAGCCGCCCTGGGCGCAGATATTTTGAATTTATGTGTGTGTTGTAGAACACAATCAAAATAGATGGATTAAATTTCAAATGTATACTCTAAATGCAACGCGCAAGTAGAAGATACGCAAACAACTTAAGCGCGTCATTACGGCTCAAAAAACGTCACAGCGAAAAGCAACTGCAGCGGAGGGACGCGCAGACGTTGCACTGTTTGCATAGAGCAAAATGAAACACTCATTTGCTTATCGTGCGTTTCGGTTTGGGCGTATCGGCTTCGATGACGCACCGGTATGGAATACAAACGCAGATATGCAAATAGACGTACAAAATTTCTAGTTCTCTGTAGGTTTGTGTACAAACATGGATGCGCCCAGTAGGCACCATTTTGTACATGAGTTAGCGCTCTAGTAATTTAATATAGCTCTATTGATATAGCTCAGTCAAATTCAGCTCTTAGCATTGAGCGCGTTTGATTACTTCCCTTGTGCTTACTCGCGCAAGCCCGACTGCGTTCGATTTAGCTCTCACGTGACTTCTCGCACTTACTCAAGCTTGGCCCAAGTAACTGACCCACTGAGCCGGTTACTTGGTAGTCTCCCACAATACAATGCGAAAACATGGCAGCAAAGTCTAACGTTGTGGCAGCAGGGATTCAAAAGTGTCTCATGCAGCTTTACTTCACATAGTACTAGATGACGGGAGGAAAGTTAAGTTAATTTTTAACATACCCAGCATTTATTGTTCAGTTCTGAAGAGCACGTAGTGGCCACCATGGCTTGTTTCACTGGCTCGAATCCATTTGCAAATGACATCTCGACCCGCTCCATTTGGTATGGCTCGACCTCGAGTAGCCCGAGGTGATTAGTTTATTGCTACAGATTGCGCATGTGCATCAATACCCAAGACAAAAGTACGGGTGAGCGGGAGAGAAGTAATCGAACGCGGTGATTGTGAGACATGGGTACAAACCAATGGTGGATGGGGCGTACGGCCATATCAGGAATGGTCCATTCTGAGGAAGCACATTATTGCTTCATCAGGGTGATGAGTACAGGAAGACAATTTGAGTTTGATAGCTGTCATCCAAGTGTCCTCCATTTTAATGATATCCATTATGAAGTTGTTTCCACTGTGAAGTGAGAGTGCTCAATCTTTTCATACACTGTACATAGCACTGATTGGGGTACCAGACGTAAACAAGCCTGACTACCTGGATCCTACGATTTTTGAGGAAGGAGACATCCCTGTCTTTTGGGCCTGTGGCGTTACTGTAGTGGAAGCTGTCAAGGCTGCCAGTGAGTGATATCTGCTTTAAAAAGAAATTGTATAACACTTACATGTAAGTAAGACGCCATGCCTGTGCATTGACTAAATGTGACCTACCGATACATGGTACTGAAGCAAAAGGAACACTCTCAGAAATCTTGATTTAATGAATCGGTGCTCAGGGTCAAATACCGGTATATGCTAATCATGTCAAATCGGTTATGGTTTTTCGTAGTTTTGAGTGGCAAAGGGCTCCTTGTTCCTCTTCTATAAATTGAATTTTTATTTCTGAAAGTTGAAAAAAAGTGATGATTTAGAGCAATACAAATGGTACCACTGACAGCCAGTGAGTTAATTATGGTGTATTAAAAGGTATTCCGAAAAAGTCAAAGTTAAGGGTTAATTCTCATGTGACACACAGGCATCCATGGGTGGGAGTGGCACATGTTTAACAATTTGAGTGAGTTGTGTTGACAAGTGTTGCAAAAGACACTCCTACTTAAATAAGAGTAGTTCATAATACATTCCACCTCCAGGTGTTAGCCTGTCTAGGTATCCGTTATACATTTGTATATTTCACGGTCTGCAATGTGCAGTTAATCAATTTACATGTATGTTTGTGTACCTGTCCCCACACAACACAATAGCTGCATATGGAAACTTTGTTTTGTTATTCAGACACAAGTGTTTCATCTTCAAATGTGTAGGTATAAAAAAACAAAATTACAAACACTGCAGGGCCTTGTAAAAAAAAAATACTACATGCCTGCGCGGATGTGTGGTAAATACTACACATTAGTGATAGCCCTGTTGCCATCTCTCAATAGGCTGACTCCACGCTTACATTATTGTTGTAACTTAGTACTCTGGGAGCAGGAAACAGGTTTAATTGAATTTCTGATTTTCCTTCCTTTAAAAATAAAAATGTTGGGAACTACAAATCAGAATGAAAGAAAAAATGACATATTATAAAAAAAATTGTAGGATTCAATTAAAAAACAAATATATGTAATAAGGAAGAAGAAAACTCCTACTTTTGGGAAAATGAAAAACAGAAGTCTGAAGCCCATCTTGAACCCACAATCAGCAGATCCGTAATCCTACAAACTCTTATGCCGTGTTCTACAATCCCTTTAAGATACATGTAGCAGCAAGGCTATCACTTTTGGGAAGTTGGTAGATTCATGTTTGTGCGCCATATGGTTGCAGACCAGTAAATAAACTGCCATAGACCATAGACCCCAATAATAAATGCCCCCCATTCAAAAATTCAGGAAAAATACTCACACAACTCTCCAAGGTATTCCAGACATGCATCAAAGCTAATTTGATCATCTTTCATTTTCTTTTTAATTTTGGGGGCTAACTGATGACTTTCAGGAGAAATTTACATCCGAAGATGATCACCTCAAAATGGTCCTGAAGCCCACTGCCATTTTGAAAAACGACGTCAACACTCCATTGCAAAATAGAGCACTTTTAGGGCTCCAATTCCATCCAAAATGAACGGAACTACAATCTCACAGTCCTGTGCATGGCTTCCACCCATATTTTTTTACAAACCCTCAAGTTCATGGCCCACAATATGCTCAAAAAACGAAGAATTTGAGGGTATGCAAATTGTGATTTGGCCGCGTAGGCGATTTTGGACCGATTTACTGGCCTGCAACCATATTGTACATTAGTTGCTCATCAGTTTAACTCATACCCAGCATCCTATTCATGGTTGCATGGTGACCACTACTTCTATTAGCTCTAATTAGTTTGTTTGACATAAAGGGTCAACACTTGTGTGCGTGTGAAATGTTAGTACAGTAAGTACGATATTTGGGTAATCTTCCACTCAAAAGTGCCTTGCAAATTGTTTAAAATTTTCATTATTCATTTGTTATTTTTTTTAAATGTGACGTTATTGTGTAATTTCAGTTTTTTTTCTTTGCTAATATGCAGAGCCTTCTCTAGCATTCAGCCATTTCCCAGGGAACATGTACATTGCAGACGCACCTTTTCAGAGCCAAGACGACTCCCCAGCTGACGTTAAAGTAGTCACTCTCTGCGAAATGCCTTACTGGGCCAGTGTGACATCCGAGGCTGTCGTGAAACAAATCAAGCAGCTGGAGGGCTTCATTGCTGAGGACTTAGGTGGGCAAATCAAATATATATTCAGCATTTCAAAGAGCCTAAAGTCGTTGATGAAATGAACTTTTAAATCTTTGAAAAGGCCATCGCGATTTTGAAATTTTAAACTGAGCAGCTACCCGGTATAAAAGGCCGGTAATTAGGCTGTGCTGAACTCACCAAATATTCGAATATCCGATCATTGACCAAATATCCAAATAGCATTTTTTAATTAATTCGAATATTCAAAAAATGAGAGCAATCTCGAGGTATTAATGAAAAATGTCCATGATGTTATTTAACATTGCGTGGTTTGATTGTTTGCCAGATGCCACACTTTTCTTGAAGGCAATTTGGAGCGTGACTTGAGAGCCTTCGAGAGGAATATTAGCTCAAATTTCTTTGGCCCGATATCATCCATTCTGCTCCCTGTTCGTTATATTATTTGAATCAGCTCTTTGTCCATTTTGACAAGCGCAGATGCACGCAAGTACATTGTCGGCTAGTTGAGGTTGACACATGCTTAACTTAAAGGTAGCGCCCATCATTTGTTATTTGTGCATTCTGTTCGTTTGAAGCAACAAAAGTGCTCAAATTTTTAAGAAGGGTGTTGAACAAACCTGATGAAGTTTCAGCTCAGTAAATGCTGTGTATTCCGAGTAAACAATATTCTAGGATCTTGATTTCAAATCAATAGTTGCTCAGTCACGTTTTGAATTGGGCCTGAATTCAGCGTCCGAGACACGTTCTCACTGAAAAAGTCAAAGTTAAGGGTTAAAGATATAGTCCATCATTTGTAATTTGTGCATTCTGTTTGTTTGAAGCAACAAAAGTGCTCAAAATCTAAAGAAGGTTGCTGAACAACTAACCTGATGAAGTTTCAGCTCAGTAAATGCTGTGTATTCCGAGTAAACGATATTCTAGGATCTTGATTTTAAATCAAAAGTTGCTGAGTCATGTTTGAATTGGGCCTGAATTCAGCGTCCGAGATACGTTCTCACTGAGCCGATTGCAGCTACGTGATGTCGGGCACTGAATCGACGAATTATAGCAACCGCGCACTTGTGCGTCGTGCCAACGCTTGTGCGCGCTTCGCCGAATAAACAGAAATTTCCAACGATGCGTACGCATCGTTGGAAAGCCTTCTTTCATTGATTTCTTCAAATGACACCTTGCCGGAAAGAATAATTTCACAGGGAGATTAGTCCCATAACTATCTTTAAACCAAGTATGATTTTCAACAATAATTACATCAGTTACTTTTTAGATAGCTGCAAATGATGGACTGTACCTTTAATTAGTGCATTTCGAAATCAAATATCGATCAAGTCCAAGTATTCCAAGTGGAATAATAATCAAATACTACATTTTTCACAAACGCACAGCCCTATCAACCCAGCCATGAGGCCGATTGAGCAGATGATACACACATGCCGAGTAATGAAGTCTCAAGGCCATCCGAATTTGATTTGCCGAGTCCCTGTTGAATTGTTCATAATAAAGAGTGTCAGAAACTATTTACATGTATACAACCCATTGCTTAAAAAATGCATGTAACGCAACATGCACAGATGCCAACGTTAAAAATTAAAAAAGAGTAATTTTCTATCAGACACCTGCTGAAAACAAGAAATTCCCTACATAACATGATCCACCATGAGCAATGTTGATGTCACAGCGACACATGTTGCAGAAGGCATATTTTTCCCCACGATAGATTTCACAACAAAGTCCCACTTTTTACTGTACTCATCTTTAAACTTCTGGTAAAATGAAGCCATCGTTGTTTGTTCTTTGATTAGCAAAATTAAAAAAACTATAACGTTCGATTGCCACAGAAAATGCATGCATTGCAATTTCTGTGAATTGCAGAGTAGAGCACGCGGTTTAATCCACCGCCCCAGGGCACGCTCATAACGATTGGGCGATAACTGTTTGCCAACCTACTTCCACGTATTGCCTATGTGTAAACTTGGAAACCAGACTATTGTTTATCATGCCCAATTGGGCTCTTTTACTTTGAGTGATGTCATTTTGTGCACACATTTCATGTCGGCGCTCAAGGGAGGTGTGGCGCGTCATCAGGCATCGTTCCCGCCTCAAGACGGCCTCACGGCAACGTCTCGAGCCGACTTGACTGACTGCTCTTTTATCATGTTTATGCACTAAAAATCGCACACCCAACAGTTTGATACCAAATCCCATTTTATTAATACCCGCTATGCAAAAACAGTCAAGATACTACACGTAATACAAATTGTGCACACATTATTTATTCACTTAAAATCTTGGTTCATGTGGTTCATGCACATATGACACAAAGTACGCCCAGTTAAATGTGCACTAATTCCTACAGCAGTGCGTTTGAACGTCTCTCCCAGTGGACTTCCCCAACTCTCCTTTTGTAACCATTGAGGGGGTACTTGTGCAGTGTGCATAGAGTCTATTACTGTTCCAACATGTCTCCCCTTGTAGATGAACATGCACGCTCATTTTAGCACGATCACTTTCATAAAACCCTTGTGTTCCCCTTCATAAAAGTTCATATAGACCTTGCCCTTCATCTTCAGATGGCCCCTTGGCCATTGTATTAAAATAACTTGTTTGAGCCATAGTTCCAATCATTTACATGCAACTTCGTTCCAAAATAACAATAACACACTTTGTAATTTACAGGTAAGAGGCAAATTGGCAATCTGTTGTCCCCGACGATCTCCTGAAGTCCGTCCTGGCCCTGTCCCATGCTTCATCGGTTGCCTTGACCACCGGCTTCCCTTGCTTTGTGAATAACAAGAACCCCTATGAGGATGACGGGCCGCCTGGTGCCGTTGCCATAGCGATGATGCTGCAAGCACTCGGCAAGAAGGTTGACCTGCTGGTGGATAAGACGCTGTACGAACCCCTGACCAGGGTACTGGAAGCCTTAGTGGAACAAAGTAAGTGCACATGGTAGGGCTTTTGGTTTATTTGGAAAGGCAAACAAGGCAAACGAAGTGGCGAATGCTACACT